CGTGAAACAGAAATTGCATCATTATGCCACAGGAAAAAAGTTGAAGAACTTGAAGCACAATTTCATGAGGCAGAGGATGTGATAACAGATCTTAGAATACAGTTGAAAGAGGTGCAATCCCAGTTGGAGAAGGAGAAGAAAGACAATACTTTCTCCAGTCAGTCTACCCTTGAGCCGGATTCTTCCAGTCCGTCCTCATCAGAACTGCAAGCAGTGTCTTCTAATTTGAAGAACACAAAGATGGAACAGATAGCCCAAGCAATGTCCAAGAGTGTGCCAAAGTCTATCGAACAATCTTCTGTTTCTCAAGTGGACATTGTCCATTCTCATGATTCTGACTCTACCTCCACGGTAGTGAGAACTAAGGAGCATAGATCATCTAGGAAGAGATGCCCCCAGAGAATTCATGCACTAGAAAGGAATTTCCTGGATAATAGTTTATCTTTAGGTATTGATGTAAAAGATAGCCAAGTCCTTGAGGAAAATGAACCTTTAGGAAAAAGAAGGGACAAGGAGGAAAGAGGCCTCTCAACCAGAACTGGAAAGACAGATATATGGAAGAATGTACATGGTGCTGTGTTGAAGAGATCTGTAAAGATCCATACATCGAGAAGGACGTCTGGTCCACATTTGAAAGTGGGTGACGTGAGTTCTGATAAAAGTGAGTATCAACCATCTCTGATGGCTGATAGTGGGAATGTGACACAAAATTCATGTTTGCCGGAGGAGCATAAAATTGATAGTTACAAAGATGCAAGTGGAAATTCTAATGGAGGTCAACCAAAAGGAAACATGAAAAGAGGGATTTTCAATGGTCACTTGCCTGATCAGCCAATCAATCCTTGCGATATGTCTGTTTTACTGTCTCCATGTAGGACTTCCATTAATCAAGTTAATGATAGTGGGAAATCTGGTGAAGATTATTCCAACACAACTAAGCATCAGAGGAAGATGAAGAAATTAAACTGCTTGGATACCGGACTCACATCAACAGACAAGAAAATGATGATCAGATGTACTAGACAAAGCAAACGCAAGAGGGAAGCCATGGGCATTTCTGATGAAAATATTTCTCCTGGAAAGAGCAATGGAAAAAGGTGGTTGGGTGAGAAACTCAAATTTGAGTCCGAGTTTGAGAGGTCTGACTTGATCAAAGAATCAACGAGGGAGAGTCGACAGCTGTCTCAAGTTGCTCGTCAGGTTGGTTTCATATTCTCCCTTGCAATTTTAAACGTGTGATGAACTGATTATAAGGTGTTGAGACTTTATCTAGAATGGGGAACACAACCCGTAAAGCCTGCAATATTTGGGTGTTTTAAATGGTAAAAACTCCTATTCATGTTCTTATAGGAACCGAAACCTGACTCCTTAAATGAGTTCAATATTAACTTCTGGCATTAGCCCAAGTCAGCTTTTTGGCTAAGCAAGGTCAATCATTCTCATTCTCTCGTTCGCCTATGAAATTCGACCAGGAAAAGAAAAGCAATCACTTGACTTCGAGCTGTTCTTAAGAGGCAATTGGTTCACGGGGTTGTGAGTTCCTATGATTTATTTTAGAATGTGCAAAGTAGGAGGGAGTCCCACGTTGAGGATTGTAGGGAGGGAGTCCCACGTTGGCTAATTAAGGGGATGATCATGGGTTTATAAATAAGAAATACATCTACATTGGTATGAGGCCTTTTGGAGAAATCAAAAGTAAAACCATGAGAGCTTACACTCAAAGTAGATAATATCATACCATTGTGGAGGTTCGTAATTCCTAACCGTTTCAAACACAAAAGCCAAACCAAGAACCCCACACCCCTACCCTAAACACCCCTCTAGAGTTGAGTTTTTAACATTCAACTAGAAAACCTCAATGTGAAGGTTTGAAGCTACTTGAACAAGAGTACTTAATTGTCCACTATAATTATAGCAAGACTAATGTTGGTTATGTTGCTTGGAATTTCCGCGATCCAGTAGTTTAGGCACTTGATGAATTTATGTCCATATATTATCATCATTTGGTTGGCCAAAATCTAAGTACTTCGCTCCAAATTTCTAAACTTTTTACTTTTTTTTCCGGCAGCTTGTGTCTTTGTCTAGAGAAAGATGGCAGTAATAATGGTGATATCTTTTCGTTCTTCAACACCATCAGAACCTGGATATGATTGGGCATCAAGCACGTCGGTCTCCTGGGAGTCGTTCTTCAGAATTTACTTCTCCAAAAAGAATCCACAGGTTAGTGTTCAGAATTCATTAGTAAGAGAGAGAAAGAAAGAAAGATTGTTCTGTGCAGTTTTGCTTGTGCCTTCTTCACATAGTTTTATGGGTATCTAATATTTAGTTTAATTTATAGAAACAAAAATGAATGACAAAAGATATCAGAAGAATTATGAGCTTCAATGTGGTGATGGTGTGAAATGAAACAAGTAGGGTCATTTTGTGATGATCTATGTAACACAACATGTTTTTGAAGAAAAGCATGCATTTGAGTTTATATTTCTACTTTTTTGAATTGTTGTTCTATCATCATCAACTTACCACTGACGTTCCATTGCTTTTCTCACTGATGAAAGGTAAAGACTTTTTAGTACCCAAAAAGAGAGAAATGAGATCTTTTGCAGGTGATTACCACTTTCCAAGACTCATTGGTTCTTATTATTAAATGTCTAATATTAATTTAGTTACGTAATAAATCTTCAAATTAGTTCTTGAAATCCGTTAAAGGTTCAAATGAAAGTTAAAACTCATGAGCCTATTTAACTAGTTCAAGTATCTATCTTAGAAAGAAAATAGTATATGTCAATTATTGTTGAGATATGTTCATTTCAAGTAAAAGTATGGTACATACTTTGATCAAGAGGGGGAGACTCGAATCCCCCACCGACATATCTCTAACTCAAAAGAAGGCTAAGCTTCACACAACCACCCACCTACGACTAACAATCACAACTGAAAGATTGAATACTAATTTTTAGACTCAATCCTAAAACACTCATTTTCCGATACTTTCAAAGTCATCTCGGGACAATTCTATAAAGTAGGATTCTAAAACATATGAACTAGATATCCTAGAAAGACAAGGAATTAGCGCACGCCAGGTCCCAGCCCACCATGAACATTGAACAGTTCTACCACCGCCCCCCCACCCACAACACTTCAATCCTATTCCTAAGTTGGAGCAATCATAATTCACATACAAACTAAAAGAGAAAAAGGAAAGAAAAAGGCAGTGGCAGTGGCAGTGGAAATTGCAGGCTTTAGCATCTGTGTCTTCTTGTCTTCCCCAGCAGCTGCACCTTGTCCCTTTGATTATCATTAAAGCCTGCTAACAATGTTGGCCCACCCCCCACAACCCAACAAAATAACCTCAATTCCTTTCCCTCCATATAAACAGAGCACAAATTTGAGAGTTCAACTTCAAACTTCAAACCCAGCTGATTTTTGCATCATCAAATATGTGGAGGGCAGAAGAAAGTTACAGAGAATCAAAGCAAGCAGAGGTTGAAGATAAGGATTCTATAGGCACGGCTCTGTTATCAGCAGGAACAGCATTGTTAATGGCAGCTTGTTTGAAGAGAGCTGTGGTTCTGTTCTTGGTTGAACAATGGCGGATCTGGGTGTTCCTTCTCTTAAATCTCATCCTCGTAGCAATTTTCTTCACTTCAAGTCCTTCAAGTCCTTCAAGTTACAGCGAAAGCCAAACCCAAGAGGCCAATGCTAAAATAAAGCAGAAAAAGATCGAAAACAGAGAGTGCAAGGAGGCTGAGAAGGTAGAAAAGGTTGAGATCAAACATCAAGAGAGGGAAAAAGAAGAAGAAGAAGAACTCCAAGAAGAAGAAGAAGAAGAAGAAGAAGAAGAGGAAATTGGGTTGTCGAAAGAGGAATTGAATGAGAGAGTGGAAGCTTTCATTGTGATGTTCAAGAAGCAATTGATTTCAGACGCAAGAAGAGGGGGAAACAGACGCACCCCATTGAGCTACAATCCTCAATAGCCATAGCCAAACCCAAATTCTTTTATCCAAGATCTTGGGGGAGTGAAGATGAGGACTGTTTGGTGAGTTTCAAGAGCTTCAAAAATGTAATCTTTGAAGCATAATGTTATCATTTTTGTATAACCCAAGATATTAACACTCTCAATTACCCCAAAATCAGACTTTTAAATATTTACTCATAACTTTATAGTAATTCTTACATTATAGTATAAATTTAGCACCTCCCCATCCTTCTTTATCTTCTCCCATCCTCCTAAAATGGTTAAAACGAGCTCCGGGATTCCACATTGGTGGGAGAGAGAACAAATCATTCATTTTAAAGGTATGGAAACCTCTCCCTAACAAATCCGTTTTAAAACTGTGAGGTTGACGTCGATACGTAACAGACCAAAGTAGACAATATCAACTAGTGGTGGGATTGTGCTATTACACGAGCGGAGCTGTATCTTCGATCGTGCTATTACACGAGCGGAGCTTAATCCTCTTCCTTTGACAATGTGCAGCGACTAGTAGCAATATTACACGAGTGGAGCTTAATCTTCTTCCTTTGACAATGTGCAGCGACTAGTAGCAATATTACACGAGTGGAGCTTAATCCTCTTCCTTTGACAATGTGCAGCGACTAGTAGCAATATTTAGTTTTGAGAAAGTCATTTTAATTTTTTCCTAAAATTTTTAAGTCAGAATTTAAATAATGTAACGTAATATATAATTTTTTATTTTACTCACACTTATTATACTAAAAAAATAAAATAAAAGAAAGTGGTAAAATAAAAAAAAAATTGGAAATTTAGGACCAAATATTAAATATTAGATCCATTTAATAATTTAACCTAATTGTTAAAAATTCATTCAAGAGAGATGGTGATGGCTGTAAAGTGAAGCCACAGAATTTGAGGGGCTTTTACGTAATATCAGCAATTTATTAACGCGAATGCCACGCTGGCAATCGTTTTTCTGTTGGTTTCCTACAAGTTTCCCACACCAGAGTCTCCTCCACTTCTTCATCTTCCAACAGAAAATCCAAACCCTAGAGAGAGAAATTTCGTTCTCTAACAGATTCTTGTATTTCTCTTCAGCAATTTAATTTGGCGAGAAGGATGAAGGATTAGAATGAAACTATTTGGATTCTGTTCAAGGAATTTGAGAAATGTGTGTGCCGAAAACGAGAGAGAGTTGATGTGGAGTACCTGATTTTGGCGAATCCGTCAAATCTACTGTGGGATTGATTTTGCAGAAATGATTCTGTGATCTCATTACATTGGAATTTCTGTTTGATCGGATTCAAGTTTGAGAATCTGAAGTCCGTTCTTTAAGAATCGAGGTAGTGTTTTGTCTTCGGAATCCGTGAATGGTTTCGAATCCAGATCTCGTGTTATATGCCTGCATTGCAAGTGGAACTGTAATCCTTGCTGAATTCACGAGAGAGTTGAATCTCGATGACTTGGCTTTCAGATGCATCGAGAAAGCCCCTCCTCATCACTCCATCTTCTCCCATACTGTGAGAAAGAGAGTGTACATGTTTTTGATCGAAGGTCCCTTCGTTTATTTCGGTATCTTCCATGAAGACCTTTACAAATCGGAGATTTGTGGTTTCTTAAACCGATTAAGTTGTGTTTTCGAGGAGTTCCTCGAATCCGAATCGTTCAAGGGTTTCGAGAACTTCACTTCGTACTGCTTTCAATCGCAGTTCGATTCGACTTTCCGGCATCTCCTTGGGTTGAATCTCAACAACACATCGTACAGCGTATTGAAGGAGGCTCAGAGGTCAAGCTTGGATTCAAGTAAAAGAAAGCAGATACCGCTGATTTCGAAGTTCTCGAATCCCAGCAGCCTAATGAAGAAGAAGAAGAAGAAGGTAGTTGGGGATGCTAATGAAGAAGCAGGGAAGTATGCAATGGTTGATTCTGCGGATCTGAATGACCATAATAATGGTTTGTGTAGTAGAGATAGTTCATTGCTGAAGCAGAAGAATGGTTCCCATATGATTGAGCGTCAGAAAGTTAAGCAAATATGGCGGAAACATGTATGGGTTGTTTTGTCCATCGATTTGTTCGTATGTCTGGTTTTGTTCGCCATATGGCTTTGGGTTTGCAGAGGATTTCGGTGCATTGAAAGCTGAAATTGATGGGGTTTCAAACCTTCATTGGCAGAAATGGCCATCTGGAAAACAGGGTTGTAAACACCATGTATGATTCATGCAAGCTTCAACTTCGCATATTTTACTTTGCTTTGCTGGTAATCTTTCTGGGTTTCTTGATTTTTGTTTCTTTTCTATGCATTGTGTATGATTCTCAGAAACTGCCAATTCAATGGAGTTGAGTTCATCCTCATAATGGGAATAATCTCTGTTTTGGGCATCCTTCAAACCTTCAATTAGAACATGAAATTAGGATTTAGTCAACGAAGATATCATCTAAGCTTGCTTGCTTGCAAACATTAAATTACACATCAGTTACAAATTTGTCCTGATCTTGAAAAATAAAACATCTCCCATTCGTGTTGGAGCTAGTTCATTAAGAGTTCACCTATTCACATGTCATTATCACATTAACTTCAAGGGCAGAAAGGTCATTCTAACATTAGGTTCAGGGGCATTTTAGGAATGAGCTATGATGGGAAGAAGCCTTGCAATGAATGAAGAACTTACCTGATTCTGCAGATCAACCGTGGGGTTGTTAAAGGTATCAAACATATTCACCAAAAATGAAAATAAAAGTTAGTTACCAAACTTACTGTTAAAATAGTTAGGTATTGTAGTACAATCTGGGCTGGCAGATTCTAAAATAATAGGATTCCAAATGCCTGGTAGTAAATTGCTTGAACATGATCGAAAGGTAGCATTGTACACGAGTTATTATCATCCAACCTACAGTAAGAAACACTCAAACTACACACGCTGTACTTTCAACCTCACACAAACAAGGAATCCGTTACATGTACGTGTATAATCAGATCCCGGATTTATCAAACTTTAGAAAAATGTCTGTTACGGCTCGTCCTACCCACAGGGAGTTAGCTTCTTATTGCCTGCACCACGAGGATTTTCATCTTTCCAGTCGTCCCATGCCCTTGCCTTCTCCTGAGCAGCATCATCATCTTCGTCTTCATCACCTTCACTGGGTCCAGGCTTTCGATTGTTGTCCTTATGCCATGAAGAGTTTGCTTCTTCTATGAACTTCGCAGTTCTCTCTTGCCATTTGTTCATCATTTCCATCTCTTTCAGCCCAGCCTCCTCGATGCTCATGGTTGGCAACCTTCCAGGGAAAGTTCAACTCATAAATTAAGGAATCTATGCATATCCTACAACTGCACAACGTTCATTTTCCTACCCAACACTTCAAACTTTAATTTCAGAGGCTATTTATACTATTATTCCTCAAAATATAACACAACAGGAAAGAAGACCTCAACATTTTCCTTCTTAAACAGTAGACAGAGTACGAGTATAGTAAACCTAATCAGACTGACTGTATAACAAACAAGCCCAAATACGTACCTAAAGCCAGGTTGGAAAACCTGGGCAGCCAACCTCTCCCGCTCACTCGTAAGGGGTCCATTTACAAGGCTAGCTGGTCCAAATATGAGAGGCTGATGTTTGTGTTCATGTGCTTGAGAGACATTTGCTCTCCCTTCTAGTACATCCTGAGCAAAAGTCGCACAAGTGATTGGTGGCGCTGGTTTAGAATATCGAGCTCTCACAACACCATCACGATGCCAAGCTTCTGCTCTTTTCATACGATCATCAAGAATCTCTCTAGAGAAGTTTTTGTCCCCATCCTGACATATATAGCAAAGAACAAATGCTCTTAGACCTCTAATTCAACCACGTATTTTATGCAGCTCTGAGAATGAACTGCCTGACTAGTTAGCCAAACACTTCCATGACAAACTTTTTTTTTTTTTCCTCCACTCTAATTCCCAAGTCCATAGAAACATGAAGAGAATACATTAATTTGACACATCATATCACCAATTAACGATAGAATGAATGCACAGAACAATGCATGACACCCCTTGAACATGCATCCACGAAGTTTGGAGTATGGCTTCAAACCTTTTCTTGTTTTTCCTTAATGGAAGAGAGCATCTCTTCTTCCTTCTTCAGCATCTCTAGCAGATCAAAAGCCTGAATATATAGCATTCCGTGTAAATTTGAGTACAATCCTAGAGGGTGACAACCTGAAGATGTTAAATAATTCTGCGTAACTGACCTTGCAGATTGCCAGAGTGATGGTTGTAAGCCAAGCCTGCAGCAAAGAGAATGCAACATAGTGAACGACTGACGAAAACATACAAAATTATATCAACCCCCCATCAAACACTGCCCAAAGTCTAACTGCACCACTCACTGGGTGAAGAATATTTCCTGCGTAATACATGTTGAAGTTTCACTGAGTTTGACAAATTTCTTTCTTTCCATAGTGGAATAATAAAAACAGAAAGGATTTTTCAAGAGATAGGATCAGGATGTAGCAAAGGTTGAGAAGGTAAATGAACCACATCACCATCTGTCTTGTTTCATTTGTCTTCTTATCTTTAGGGAAAACATGAACTATCTTGAACAACAGATGAGAGGCCACACTGTCTTGCTCTTTGTTACAATTTCCATTAGTTTGTTTAACCAAATTTGAAATATCTCATGGCTTAAAACAGGTAATGTGACAGAAAACAAAGGGAAATGAGATATTACTGCTAATATAATCTAGACAACTAACCTCACGCTCTTCCTCTCCATCATCGTCCAGCATATCCTCCTCTCCTGCCTCTATAGGAGCAGACAATGCAGATGCTTTGCTTGAACGACCACGGCGCTCTTTTCGCTCCTTTATCTCAAGTAACTTAGATTCAGCAGCCTTTTGACGTTTGAACCGTGCAATCTAGAAACAAAATTTAAAAAATAAGTGCAAGAATGAAACTGCAATAGCATCCACAAATTACATCTAATGCTATGCAAGAAATGAATAATTTAAAATCTGTGTCATGACATCAAAACTTGATCACCCCGTTATATCTGCAAGTGGATTTCATTCATAGATGCGAGTATACTTACTTTACGAGCCCTTTTATCTGCAAGTGAATTTCCTTCAGTAGATGTTTCAAGTTCCTCTTTTGGCACCAGTTCCATAGTTTCACAAAATGATATGAACTCCTAGAGAAATGCCAATTCAAATTTCAATAAGTTAACAATGAAGCCTTGAGATAATAGATTAAATTTCATTATTCAATTGCACATAATTCATTTTGCCCTGAGGTAAAATTGTAGCAACACTCACCTTTAATTTTTCCTGAGAAGCTTTAAGGATCGGTATCCTGTCTTCTTGCACAATCTTCTCTGTCAACTCAGCAAGATAAAATGGCACCTACAGGGAACAACTATCAGAGATAGGTAGAATATTTGGACTTTCTGGTGACTGCAGAAAAGGCCATAAAAACTATCTACTTCAAAAAAATATCAATTACAAATCACAATAACTGAAACTGATAGATCTGAAGCGAAAATTTTGAGGCAATAAAAAATAAATTATTTGAAAAACCATTTCATATCTGAACACTGTGCGTAATGAAATTATAACCAGTGGAGAAAATATATTGGCAAAGAGTTGTATATCTTTCTTTATTCTTTCTTCGAAAATTTTATTTGAAAAACATGCAGGCAAGATTCTAGACTTCTTGTATATAAATTGTTTTATCATTAGGAATTTATGTGGTGCTTGCTTTCCACCGTTTGGCTTCCACATGTAACTAATAGATCGATCACTTTCAACGAAAGGTGGCTAATGGACTGAAACACAAATAATTGCGGTCAAACTCCATTTTTTGAGTTCTTTGGGAAACTTGAGAAGATGGAGTACATAAGAGATGTCAGGAAGGCTTGGTATTACATTGCCCTTTTGGTTTCTATTTGGGCTTCTACGAATAATTGGTACTGTAACTTTTGGATCTAAATCACTTGAGCAAAATGGAGTGCCAAAAGGCTAAGCAGATGCTTGATCCCCTGTTCCCTTTACTTTATAACTACTCTTTTGATCGAGTATCAAAGCCTTATCAGCCGTATTTGCTAAGCATGTAATTTTTTGTTTTTGATTTTTGAAGATTAAACTTATAAACACTACTTTAAGCTATAGATTTCTTCGTTTTGTTATCTACTTTCTAAAATTGATTTCTAAATCCAAGAAAACTTTCGAAAACTAAAAAAAGTAGGTTCTAAAAACTTATCTAGCAAGAATTTAAATGTGATGTTAATCACAGTAAGACGAGCACAATTTTAAAAACGCAGAAACCAAAAACTATACGGCTTAAAGAAACGATAAAAACAAATAAAATCAAGACTTACCAGAATATATTTAAGATTTCCGGTGCTGATATCCTCCTTAGTCTCATTAGCCGAGAACAAGCCCAGCTTCCCAATCATGTCCTCACACTTACGTAATGCATCACAACCTTTCCTCACAACATCCTAAATTTCCCAAAACGAAGGACGAAACAAAAACCTTCAAAATCCAGAGGCCATCGAAGAAAAAAAAAAAACGTATTAGAAAGAACACGAAGGTACAAAAGAGTACCTGATCCGACGCAGACTCTGTCGCAGCATTATGAATCTTCCTCGCTTGTTCGAAAATTGACGGTAGAGGCAGGTCCTCCATTTAGTGCAGTAGCGAAGAAGGCAACCCTAATAACCGGCTAAAAACGAATTGAAATTAAATTCACACGAAAAAGTCAGGTATCGGAAGTTGAATCCCTAGGTTGCGTCGACTAGAAACGGGAAAACAACGTTGAAGTATAAATCGCTGAGAATTACTTCTATTGAGAGAGAGAGAGAGAGAGAGATCAGAAATGAGAGAACGGCGATCGGAGTTCGACTGCAATGAGCCGCCGTTTCGGCGTACGGTGATATTAGCGTCTTAAGATTTCCGTGCTGACTCGTCCACCAGCACTACCTCCGTCCAGATCTTGCCACGTCATCAAGATACCAATTGGCCGTTTCCGATTCTTTTTGGTGTATAGAAGCAAGCCAGAACTAGAAGAGACTTCTCGCTTCTGGAAGCCAACGTGGGCTCTAAACATGGTGTGGGCCTTAGGCCCAATGAAATGAAGATCCATAAATAATAGGCCCAATAAGCATATATTACAATTTGATTTATAAATAAAAATTACAATAAGAGAGTTAATTATTCCACTTTATTTCTGTGTTATACAATCCATTGGTGATCTATGGACTTTCACAATAGTATAATATTAAAAGTGAGACTGCCCTTCCGAGCGAATGGTGAGCATGGAGCTTTTATGGTAGTAGCAAATGTTGCCTAAAAAATCCTCGCACAAATAATAAATGTAAATAAACCAAATATTAATGATCTGTACATACCAGATTTTGCGAATGGTATGAAATGAAGATATTATAACTTAGCCTTATATTCTTGTGTATCAATGATGTAATGTTGATAAAGTTGAAATAGTATTTCCAAGTAAAAAATAAAAGTTGGAGTTTATTTATTTTTAATATTATTATTCCATATCACTTTCTGAAGGAGATCATAAATAAAGAAATAAAAGAGGAATAATTTGATAGGTTGATTTTGTGTATTTTACTTTTTGATATTAAAAAAGAGGTTGAATAAAATAGACACGTGTAGGGTATAATTGCACTGACTTATCTAAAATATTAAATGCATAATCTGTTCGGTTGTCCTTCTCTCTTCATGCACCGTTTGGCCCGAGGAGTTGAAGAAAATGAAGGAAAATGAGACCTTGGAACTTGATACAAAATTTGCATGAAAAGACTTATATTCATACACATCATTCCTGATTTTTTAATTTCTTCAAAAACTTTATAAATTTTGAGGCTATTATATATATATATTTTTAATGTTATTGTATCAAATAAAGCCATAAAAAAGAATTAGAAAATTCAGATTTGTTGCCATTTTTATCTATATTCAACTTACGATTTGATCTATGCAACTTAGTTTTTATCATGTTAGTTCCGTTCATGAACTTATTTAAGTTAATTGAGTTTAAATAAATAAAAGCTATCCGAATCAAATCCATTTATGAGTTTTCTTGTTAAACGAAACAAACTCCAATTTATTGTTATATATATATATTTTATAATTATGTATTCTTTAATATCTCTTAAAAATAGTTATTTTTAAGGTTATTTTTTGAAATATATATTAATATCGAATTTCTGAATTTTTGGAAATAAATAAATAAAGTAGATATTTTATCGAATAATATTTTACTTTTATAAAAACTAAAATTACAAAAAAAAAAAACATTTCAACATCACCCCAAGCACAAAATTCAAACTCAATTAATGTAGAGTTAGAAATGCCTACATGTGTAAGGAGGATAATCATTCATAATTGTTTCATATATAGTAATTTTTTAATAGATAATTCTATTTTTTAAAATAATTTTTATTAAAAAAAAATATGTAACATCCCACTCAATCTAATTATATTCAATAAACTTGATTTTTTAAAAACTCAAAATTTAATATCAAGCGCATTCAAAGACGCTTAAAGAAAAATATGTTTATTTTAAGACGAGTGTTAACAAGTTGTGGAATTATATTTGAAAATCTTTCTATGTTCATTCTCCAAATTCTACTCGTTAAAGACATGTCCATATAGGATCACGAACTCGCAAGTTAAATTAACATAAATATTTCAACGCTAATAATTTTAATAAACATAAAAAAAGTAAAAATGGAATCATTTACTTCATTCCAATATAAATATCTCAACTCCTTTTTTTTTTTACCTCTATTTTTATTCTTTATTTTTATATAATAAGGTAAGAATATTTATTAATTATGAAAGTAAGAATCGAACCAACGATTTTTAAAACGATAACTAATACCGTAGCTATTGAAAATAAAATAATATATATTTTTTAAAGACATATATTACATGTGGTAACCTGATTGGAGTGAGTTATTGAGAAAATATAAGTCTCATCACTTGTCGTAATAATTTATTTTTAGATTATTTGAATTTTTATCGCAAGTAATCTATGTATGTTTTTATTAACTTACCATACTAGAATTCAAAGTAAATTTATAATCGTCACTGCTGACGCTTTTAAGCATTAAAATATTATATATATATATATATATAATATGTAACATTTTAACGTTAAAAATAATAATATCAAATATGTCAAACTTTTGCCAATCCATAATACTCTGAATCTTGTCACAAAACTTAAATACACAGAAAACAGTAATAAATATTTCTTAAAACATTATTATAAAAAATTCACTAATAATTATATAAACTATAAATTAAGATTTTTTTTTCATTTATTAATATATGAACTATTATATTTTATTTAATTGAATTAATAATGTACCAAAGTACGTAAAAATGCTTAAAGCTGATTTGATACTTAAAGTTTTAAACCCTAGACCTAAACTTATAAAAAAAATATATATATAGTTTGTAAAATTATATTAATAAAACAAATTAATACAAATTTTGGGAATACGAATATTTAAATTTAATTGAAATAAAAGCACTGTTAGTTTCAAATAATTTAGTAATTAGAATTTAATGAAATCTCTTATAGACAGGTAGGTAAAGTAATTAGAGATATAATACATTTGTAATAAAATTAAAATTTGGAAATTAAATTATCATATAAATTAAAAAATTAAAGTTGAAATATTAATTGGGTTTCTAAGTTAATATTGAAGTTAAAATGGAAAATTATTTAAAAGCATGAAAATGATAATTTAAGAAAGTCAGCTATATAAACAGGTCATTGCGGGGTCTTTCACACGTAACCACCACAACTTCTCCGACTGCTCCGTTGTGGGAATTTTCCCGGCGGTGGTTCTGTTTGGATTCCGAGAAAATAAAAAATGGGGGACAATAATGGAATTTTGGAGAGAAGTAATAGTAAGAAGAAGGGGAGTGGGGGTATAAAGGGGATTTTCATACACGCCGACGCCGTCGACATACTGCTGATGACATTGGGGTTCATCGGAGCTTTGGGCGACGGCTTCACTGGCCCTGTGGTTCTGTTCGTCTCTAGCCGCCTCATGAACAGCATCGGCAATACCTCTAACATTTCCGCTTCAAGCGCCAACATGCATCTTTTTATTCACAGCATCGAGAAAGTATTCTTCTTTCAATTCATTTCTCAGAAAACTCTGTTACTTTTTAAATTTATTTTGATGAAATTGTTCTTTGATTGGCGACAGAATGCAGTGGCTATGCTGTACATTGCTTGTGCGACTTTTGTGGTTTGCTTTCTCGGTGGGTTTGGAATTCTTTGAATTCTTTGAATTGTATCAACTCAGAGGCTCTAAATATACTTATGATTTTGCTCTGTTTTATTTTTTTCAGAAGGGTATTGCTGGACGAGAACCGGCGAGCGACAGACGGCGAGAATGAGAGCGAGATATCTTAAAGCAGTTCTCCGGCAAGATGTTGGGTATTTCGATATGCATGTCACCGGCACCTCCGAAGTTATCGCCTCTGTTTCCAGTGATACCTTAGTGATTCAAGACGTTTTGAGCGAAAAGGTTAAAGCTTTCTTTTTCCATTTTTATAATTCAGTCAAAATTTTATATTATTTGACATGGGTTGTCGGGAATCTATCCAGATCCCGAACTTTTTGATGAACATGGCCACATTTCTTGGAAGCTACATTGTCGGGTTTATACTGTTATGGCAGCAGGCGTTGGTGGGATTACCTTTCGCGCTCTTGTTATTGATCCCCGGTCTTCTTTACGGCAAAACCATGATGGGTTTCGCGAGAGAAAGCATGGAGGGGTATAAGAAGGCCGGAATGGTAGCAGAGCAGGCGATTTCTTCGGTTAGAACTGTGTATGCCTACGCTGGAGAAGATAAGATTAAATCGGATTATTCGTCGGCGTTGGAAATTTCGGTGAAGTTGGGCCTAAAACAGGGACTTTCTAAAGGTTTGGCTATCGGAAGTAATGGAGTTTCGTTTGCAATTTGGGCATTCATGGCTTGGTATGGAAGTCGAATGGTTATGTACCATGGCGCTCAAGGTGGGACTGTTTTTGCCATTGGAGCTTCCGTTGCCATCGGCGGATTGTAAGAACTCAACTCATCTCCTAATTGTCTCTTTCTCCTCAATTTGTTGTTAAAAACTAATATTTGCATGGGAAATTATCGAAATGACAGGGCAGTTGGTACTAGTTTTTCCAACGTTAAATACTTTTCCGAGGCAATTGCGGCGGGGGAGCGAATCATGGAGATCATAAACAGAGTCCCCAAAATCGACTCCGACGACATGGAAGGTCAAATCCTCGAAAATGTCTCCGGCGAGGTCCAATTCAACAACGTCCAATTCGCGTACCCGTCTCGCCCGGAGACCATAATTCTGAAGGATCTGACCATCACAATTCCCGCCGGTCGCACCGTTGCCCTCGTCGGTGGCAGCGGCTCTGGCAAGTCCACCGTCATCTCTCTGCTGCAGAGATTTTACGACCCATTGGGAGGGAGCATTCTGATGGACGGAGTGGGGATTGAGAGGCTGCAATTGAAATGGCTGAGGTCCCAAATGGGTCTGGTTAGTCAAGAGCCTGCCCTTTTTGCCACTTCCATTAAAGAGAATATTCTTTTTGGAAAGGAGGATGCCACCATGGATGAGATCATCGAGGCTGCTAAAGCTTCTAATGCTCATAATTTTATTTCTCTGTTTCCAGAAGGATACGACACCCAGGTAAATTATATGCCCTTAACTTAATCATATCTATAGAAGTTTTAGATGTCGAACAAAGAAGTGTGAAAGTGTGAAAGTGACTGAGCATTCATTTATTTGAAGACTCGAGAAGGAGTCAGGTCTCAATTAAGAGAAAAGCTCAAAGGTTCCTGGATTGTTGGAGATGGTCGGAAAGAAGTAGGATAAAAGTGTTGAAATGTCAAATCATTTGTTATTTTAATAATAATTTGAAGTTGAAAAACAGGTGGGGGAAAGAGG